ATATACACGAAGTTTTACAACTACGTGTGTTTCCCTTTTTGGAAACATTATAAGGTCCACTGTTTCAGCAAGACAATGCACGTATGAGTTTAGACTTTTTAGAAGCATCCCGAGTAAATCTGCTTCAGAGGCCTCCTCGATCTCCAGACCTTTCCGCCATCGAACATGTATGGCAGATGACAGGAAGAAGGTTGCAAATTTATCCGCACCCTACCCACACATTGGAAGCTGTACGAAACCAAATTCAGATGGCCTGGGAAACAATACACCAAGAGGACATCAATCACCTAATCAAATCAACGCTTCAACACATTATTATTATTAAGGGGGGATATCTCAGCTATTTTGCGTAATTTCTATTTATCAGTCCTAAAACTTGTAAAAGTATGTTCAAAATTGTAGCACATCTAGTCGGTGTTGCATCTTCTATGTCATTTAGTATACATATTTTTTATAAACTTTTCTCCAATATTTTCTTTTGGATCAAGTCGCTTTATATAATATTGAAAATACACTATCTTTGAGCTACTTCAGGGTTAAACGTTTTATACACTTTTTTCAAAACCTACCACTTGGAGAGGTCTAAAAGATTTGTAAAATTTGTATCGCTTTCACTTTCAAAGTTAAAAATACAAAAATATTATTATTACATATCATATAATTACTTCTAGGGGCAAAAAGGCATCGATTTCTACAGGGTGTAAACGTTATGTCAGTCATTATTGAAATGGGTAATAGGAGGGGTCAAAACAAGTAGAAAAGTTCGTATGAGTCATGATCCAAAAGTAAGTAGATTTTTGTCTAAATGGCTTTAAAGTTTACAACTTTAAGTGCTTTATAGCGACCACAATCACCACAATCTTACTAATTTTTATAATCTAATCTAAAACGTTTTTAATTGGGTAATTAACAAATAAATGGCATTAAGTTTTTCTAAATTAAGCCAAAATTTGTAGTAAGTAAGTTTCATTAAATTAAATATTTAAAACACACATGACAACAGCGCATCGGTCTTTCATCACTCTTATCGAACCGGAAATCGATCGCAAACGGTAACACTGGTAAGTTATCGGGCATCGGGCGTGTTGTTTTGTTTTAGTTCCGGTACGTCGTCGTGTTTATTTACAATGTTCTCGAATCAAGAGTTCGCCGGTGAACCTCGTCAGAATTCAAATCTTGCAGCTCATATTTATCGCCAACGGGTACACCCAGACAGAAGGACATTTGTGCACGTGTACCAAAGACTTCGAGATACAGGAAGTGTTCAGCCCACTAATATTCGCACTCGTGAAAGACAGGTTACTGTAGAGCAGGAGGAACAAACTTTAAATATCGTGGAAATCAATCAACTGGATCGGTCGAAATGCTCCTGATCCTCGAAAATGGCCAGCAAGATCTCCTGACCTCAATCCGATGTATTTCTGGTATTGGGGAGAACATAAAGGGATGGTTTATTGGACTGGTCCAATAACAACTTCGAGAAAAAATTTTTAATGCGGCTGAAATAATAAATGGACAACTTCGAGTAGGTACCTAGAGTAAGAAGAAACTGGGTTCGTCGTAATGAAGCTTGTGTGGAATGTGGAGGACGACATTTTGAACACCTTCTTTAGATATAAAGAAGTGCAGTGTGAGTTTTAAAAAGAGAAACAATATATGTATCAAAATTGTGTTTCCTATTTATAAGTGGATTTTTTTAATACGTTCAATAAACTTTCACACACCAGGTGAAGCGCTGTGACAGTTAGTGGTACGTCCGTTTTTTATAATTGTTTGCATTTTACGAGTACATTATCAAATAATGAAATAATACCTAAGAACCAAAAATAACAAACTCCATCTTTATTTACACTGCGTTCCCTCGTAATTTGCGTCTGGCATTGTGGCGTTGTCAGATTTTATTTTACTTTGAAGTCGCTTTTCTCCAAAAAAATGTCGTTTTGACCCGCATGTTATATGAAACTTTTTGCTTCTTTTAAGCTCTTCTATCACCCATTTAAATAATGACTATCATAACGTTTACACCCTGTATATCTTTTGTGGCCCGCCGCTCCGAGTGATGAATGTTGTCTAATTCGTAATTGACGGTTTAAATACTTTCCTACGTTATGTTGACCATTTATAATTTCAAAAATATTATTAACATGAAGTCGAATATTCCACTCTCATCATTTGTTTTTATTGAACCCTCTCCACTTACGAGCGCCACCCTAACGCAAGTTCTGTGTACGCCACTCTCTGCCCTAACTTCCTCCATGTAGGTATTTGAGTTTACGAGTAGTTTACCACGTATCAAATACTTTGATATCAGTCATCAGTTTAGCGAGTTACTCAACTATTTCATGCCAAGTCCATCAAAGCCCGTCCAATCAAACATCAAAGACTATAAAATTCAAAATCAAAATATCCATAGGTTTTAGAACAAATTTTATTTTCAGAAACATTAGTTTTTCGCTTATACAGTCATTCAAAAGCATATCTGCGATTCCGTCTCGAAAATAACGTCCTAACTGGTCCCTTCAAGCGAATTGTTGAAAAATTCCAAGCGTCCCATTTCTAGAAAGCATTTAAAACTTACTTAGAGTTCTCTCACGTCGAAATTTTAATAAAGTTTCGAGCAACGTCTCTTCTTGCATTCTGCCGCGGCGCCCAAAAGAAACAGTACGTATTCGTCGGAGCTGCAGTTGTGCTTTATTAGATTAGAGCCGTTCATTAATTAGAGTAACATGTATCACTTGCATGGCAAGTTTTGAGACTGATCTTACGTAAAAGACTTGCTCGTTTTAATTGAAGATGCTTCTGTTACATTTCCATTGCACCCTCTTTACCGTATGTTTTGTGCGGAATTCTTTATACGTAGTAACGTTTCTGGACATACGTTTATATATGAAGTTTTTTCAAGAATCTCTAAACCAGCGCAAGACTTGCTTGGTCTTGGTCTTGCAACATAACAGAAGTCGTGATCTTGCCTTCCAAGACCTAGATCAATACTAGCTCAGTCTGGGCATAGGTCTTGCTGTCGATTGAAATAGTTCTATATTACCTTTAATGCTTAGTAGTGACAGAAGTGATATACAGGGTGTTCCACAACTTATCCGACAAATTTTAACAACATATGCACTGTTACGAAAGAAGCTGATTTCTCAAAAAAGAATCCTACAGATATTGAGTTATAAACCTGAGATTCAATCATAAATTGAAAAATAAATATCTGTATTTTGCGTTCATCGTCTTGATATTAGAACACGCATTAATAATTTCTTGTACCAAACAACTGACAAAAACAAAATACCAGGAACTTTTTGTTTTTTCATACTAATAAGAACGTGTAAATAAGGCTTAATCTGTATTGTGGGTGATCTGAATGAAGAACGGTCGATTTTTGTGAATTTAGATAAAAAAGTATTTTGCGAGTTTATGTTTTTAGTTATTTATTAATAAAAATAACACATGTGTACACTAATGAGGAGTGAATGGACATTTTTTTAGCGTACGGAGAAGCAGGGCAAAATTCGCGAGCGGCTTCTCGCTTGTATGCACACTGATTTCCGAATAGTCAAATACCATATCACGAAACATTTAGTTCAATTGTTTTACGTGCATGTGCTAGTGGAGATTTGCGCCCCAGACGTGGAGTGGATGGGGGTTGGCTTCGCCTACAATGCTTATTTAATGCCTAAGACAAAATTTTGGGTATTGTGGAAGAAAATCCGGGAATAAGCACAAGGCAGTTAGCCCAACAGGTCCTAGAAGTGTCACATGTAACAACGTGGCGCATATTATATGAAGCCCAGCTGTACCCTTATCACTTTCAGAGAGTCCAGGCTTCTTACCTACAGACTACCCCCTGAGAGTAAGATTTTGTGAGTGGTTGTTGCAAGACAACGCTCGAAATGTCCGTTTTACAGCTGATATTTTGGCCACCGATGATGCTAGTTTTACTCGTATTGGGATAACCAATCTTCATAATACACACTTTTGGTCCTTTGAGAATCCTCACGCAGTAGTCCAGACACACTTCCAGCATCGTTTTTATTTAAACGTGTGGGCAGGTATCGTCATAAACGTCTAATTGGACCATTCGTATGGCCAGATCGGCTGGATGGTCACCAGTATTTGGAATTTCTTCGGAATGATTTGCTGGTCCTTCTTGAAGATGTGCCATTGGCGGTCCGAGCACGGATGTGGTTTCTGCACGATGGGGCACCTCCACATTTTCGTTTTGAAGTGCGTGATCTTTTGTTTCAGGTATACCAGATACGCTGGATCGGAAGGGATCGACCAATTGCATAGCCTAAACGGTCTCCCGATCTAAATCCTCTGAACTTCTTTTTATGGGGATACCGAGGTATACCGTACTCCAGTTCAGAATATTGAAGAATTGCGTGACCGAATCACTGTGGCTGCTGATAATTTGAGCCTTCAGGTACAGGAAGGAGGTGTATTTGAATTAGTGCGCCGAAATTGGATGAGACTCGCCCAAGCTTGCATTGCAGTCAATGGAAACAATTTTGAGCAGCTTTTATAAGTGAACTGTTAAACACTATCATTTTACTATCTCGATTTCTTTAGGTTACTTTTATGACATTTTTTTTGAGAAAACAGCTTCTTTCGTAACAGTGCATATGTGGTTAAAATTTGTCGGATAAGTTGTTAAAAACCCTGTAGAATAGCAGTTTTTTGGTCTACGTTTTTTAATATTATTAAGTTAATTATGGTGAAAGTCAATTATAATAATATTATGCATTATATGGATTGTATGTTAAAAGTTGTTGATACCTCCAGGAAATTATATGTACTTCACCTCTTAAATGCTAACTTTAAAAAACAATTCAACAAATTTAATTTAAACATTGTCAGATGTAAATATTTGGGCAAATAGTTTATGCCAGACCACAAGAGGCTTGTACACAGTCTTGGTCTTTCGTCTGGCGATGCTCCATGTTTAGTTCAAGGTAAATCGGTCTTTTACTTCTAAGAAAAAATGTGTATTCTTCAAGTCACAGCAATGGGCTTAATTATATTACCTTTAGTGGAACTGTATTCCTTGAACGCTGATAGAAAAGTCGCTCCTCGTATCATTCTCGAGAAAACAGCTCCAGAATTGGAGATCATTCCCGAGGAAGCAAAAATTATCTCCCAGAAGTCTGTGAGTAACTCAAAGTATTAAGCAGTCTATATGTCACGCGGTAAGCTTTGACATAGCATCTATGATTATTACAGCCTGCCAAACCGGTTTAAATTTAGGAGACTGAAACTTTAACCTTAACTTAAAATTTCTTGATATAGTGAAACACGTGTCGGATATGTAAAAAACAGGTTTTGTGTGTGACAAAACTCTGTAATAGCTAAAGGCAGTTGCAGGAAAAATATATCTCTGTTATCTGTAAAATATACCTGAAGAAATAAATGGATCAATAAGCTGAATAAAAACATCTCCGTGCATCTGTAACCCAGATCGAGTTAACGCCAGCCCAGTCGGTAACTGAGAATTATTTATTTTGGCAAGCATCGGAAGTTACAAGTACTCGAATCCCGCTCCTGTATATCAGAACTGAGATTGCACGCTTCGAGGAACCACTTTGTTAGCTGAGAGCAATATAAACTGATTTTATTATCTTGGAACACCCCCAAGGTTAATGCAGATGCAAAGATTTTGCTTCGTTGTTGATGAGGTGGAGATTGCATATTTCAAAAGCTGTGATTTTTTGTGTTTCTTATTTTTATACAAAACCATAGGGCGTTCCAAAACGTGGGGAAGAGCATAGAAGGGTGATTCTTCGGACTATTCCATGACTATTTTGTCATTTGATGGTTACGGATATATAGGAACCTAAAATACTTCACTGGAAATCGTTTTTTTTAATAACTTCCGAATACCACTCCACGCTCTAAATTGATTATATCTGGCGATGTTTAGGAAAAATGTTGTGGGAGATTTCCAGAGAGATTGTCGGACAAAGCTTAGCAAGCATTGAACACAAGTCTGAGATAATAATAATAATAATAATAATAATAGCGTTTATTGTCCAACAGTTACCCCATTTATAGGACAATTACATAAGCACAATTAAAATAATATTCAGTGGTATTAAAAAAAAAGAAGTTATTTCAAATATAAATAAGCCATTCTAACTACTGAGTTAAGCGAACAAGTAAATATATCACAATGACAGCTAATACAATTTAGATGTTTACACATAACATATGTAGGAGATTTGACTAACACGTTGGTCCTAGTCCTTGATAGCTTAAAAGTTACATAGTTGCGTGAAGAGAACGAAGGAACATTGAAATTAATCTGTGCCAAAATGACTGGGGAGTCAATAATGCTATTTAGCAGTTTAAAAAGGAATATGGCAGATGAAACTTTCCTTCTGCATTCTAAACTATGAATTTCAAAACGCTCACATAGTTCCATATTGCTAATGCCTTGCTCAGGGTAAACTCCTTCAGATTTGAAGTATAGAAACTTTAGAAATTTTCTTTGGACCCTCTCAATATCATTTATATAAGTCTGGTAATACGGATTCCATACAACACTCGCATATTCTAGTTTTGTACGTACATATGTAAAATATAAGACTTTTAAGGCCCTTAAGTTATCAAATCGTTTACAGTTCCTGACAATGAAACCGTAAGACTTAAAGGCTTCCGAAACTTTCCGCGAAATATGAGTAGTAAATGTTAATTTATGGTCATATATAATACCCAAATCTTTGACTATATCGCTTCTTTCCAGCACCACACCATCAATATTATAGTTGAATACACGAACATTTTTCTTTCTGCTATAGCTAACTACTCTGCACTTACTTATATTTAGATGTAATTTATTGAGATCGCACCAAATCCTAACACTACTTAACTGCATCTGTAAATCTAAGCAATCCTGCACGTCACTGATTGATGAATATATCTTATCAGCTGCAAAGCATAACTGTTGACCATTCATACTTTCGCAAAGATCATTTATGAATAATAAAAATAACAATGGTCCCAAGTTGGACCCCTGGGGAACACCAGATGGGGCTAAGTAGGTTTGAGATTTGAAGCCATTATATTCAACAAATTATTTTCGCTCTGACAAATACGACCTGAAGAATGTTATAGCGCTAAGTGAGAGACCAAAGTGACCAAGTTTCATCAACAAAACCCCATGATCAATTTTGTCAAATGCCTTTGAAAAATCCGTATAGATCACATCAACTTGGCAGTTATCATCTAGAGCTTCAGAAATATATTGGATTAAAATTGGTGACTGTAGATCAGTTGCTGACAAAACCGTGCTGTTTTTGTGATATTTGATTTTTTATTGAAGGATACAAGCGATTGTACAAGATTATTTCAAAGACTTTCGCAAAAATGCATATAAGAGAAATTGGACGATAATTCTCGACATCTGATTTTTCTCTATTTTTGAAGACCGGACAAACTTTGGACACCTTCCATGAGATGTGCTGAAGATAGAGACGATCAGAACGATTTGCTCAACCGTGTCTGAAATTACATCGATAATGCATTCAGGAATCAGAGGGAGAAAAAGAGAGTGTGTGATCTAATGAAATTTCAACAATGTATCGTCTAGTCGAGGCCTCACTCGGTGATATCAACAGAAAACAACTCGCGCAAATGCAGCATCGGTGAAACTTTTCACACCCTCTAGATCTCTAGAACAAGGGTTCGAAAAAAAGATCTTTGGAAAGTATGATCCTTTATATCAAAACACGACTGTAATTTGATTTTTGCGAAATTAATCGTTTGTGGGATAAACAATTTTGATTCAGAACTGCTCCTATCAATTTACACGGTAGACAATCTCTAAAACTCGGGTAAGTCCCGAAACTTGGTAAAGTGACCTGACAATAGGTGTGCAAAGGCTCTATGGGTCGCTGGTTACGAATCTGTTAACTAAATTACTATGTTTTCAAAATTGTGGAATCCAAAATAGAGATATTCAACACCTGTAGATCAGTCCTACTTGGGCATCACTTTCTAAATGGAAGGTATAGGCATGTAATTACTTCGTGTCAAGTTTTATTACGGTAAAACAAGGAAAAATTCAATCAAAAACACACACTCATTGGATAGGATAGTTTGTGTTCGACAGGATTCAAAGTTTAAAAATAACATGTTGATAGAGAGGGAGCAGAGTACAGCCCTCTATATTTTTGGATAAGGAGAGCCTGAGGTTACTGAAAGGACCCAGAAGCTGTGACCAAGCCTTTAATGAAGTGTTTGATGTACATACGGAGACGTTATTGTATTGTTCCTGATCCTAAGATAGTATTTTCATATCTGAACGCCTTGCTTTCCTTCGGCTAAATATTCTATTCACAGAAGGTGGATCACGAAGTCGCTTTAACACATATTGAATTTAAACACGAAAAATAAAATTTCTAGGAGTTTGTCAAGTTCTGTGAGAAAAAGATCTCATAAACGTGATGTGGAAGTGTAGATGTCAGCAAACGTTTCTTTTTTCGCATTCGTTTGGCTTGCTTTTGAATATATACTAAATGACATAGAAAATGCAACACCGACTAGGAGTGCTGTCATTTTGAGCATCCTTTTACAAGTCTTAGGCACTGATTGGATAGGGTGATTAATGTCTTCTTTGTGTATTGTATCCCAGGCCATCTGAATTTGGACTCATCGCTGAACACGACTGAGTTCCATTCCATATTCCATTCAAGTCTCTTCCTACTCCACACCGATCGTTGCCGATGATGCTGTGTGGTCAGAGGTACTACAAGATGGGGAGGGTATGAAAGCAGCCCAAAAGACCTTATTTGGTGATAAACTGTCCTCATTGTTATTGTCTTCCGACAGCATCAAACCACTGGTTCGCAGCTGCTTTTGTTGTGGAAAATCGATCACTAAATACTAGTTGCCTCAAATAACGATCCTGTCACTCTGTAGCCCACTACCTCTAACTCGTCGATTTCGGCCTTCTTGGAACCACGCTCGACAACATCTCATTGCAGTAGCCTTCGTTTCGATCCACCCGATTAGCGATTTCTCTGAGATAAAATCCGGCTTCACATAACCCGAGTATCCGTCTCCTCTCAAGCTCGGAAAATTGAGTGAAATTAGCGCGTCTGCGAACTCTAGGCATGATAATGCAATGAAAATGTAACCAACACAGAAACATCACTGAATATTATCCTGATATGACAAAACAAGCCTTTACAAAAAAAGTACGGCTCGGAATACCTTCAACGTCTTACCAGCGTATACTTCCATGATAGTAAATATGTTTACAAGTCTTTATCAAAATTCAATAAATAATTCTGGGTGTTGCATTTTATATGTCACTTAGTATACTCATAGATTCCATGCCTTACAAAATAATTCGGACGCAAATTCTGCTGGATATATTGATAGATGGATTGATGTTGGTAATATGACATGTGACATTTTTTAGCGTGTTTTAATTATCTGCAAACGGTTCCTGTGATCATACATAGTTCTAATGAAACCTTTTTGTTTCAGTTTCAGAGAAAGAAATTCGACAATGGTAAGTGATATTCCTTCATGCTTTTACCTTAATGAAACAGTCTAGACTATATAAGCTTCTCCCGTTACCCTTCAGTAAATACTTAGATACTTAGGAAGACCTTGAGAAAGTGAACTTCTTAAGTTTTCTATTATTATTACATGAATTTAAATTAATGTATAATTAAGGGAATGTAGTAATATTTAGTTAGTAGTAGTAATCAAGAACATAGGTAACAAAAAAAGATTCAAATTGTTACAGAAATATCATGTAAACAACCTTGAAAGATTTTCCGTGACGCCATTGGTGGTACATATTACAGTGGTTGCTTGCAGTTTCGAACAAATTAATTGAGGTTTTCCGAAAAGAATGCTTGATTTCTTTTTCTTTTAAAACTTAAATTTTCAAATTAGGATTCGTATCCACTCTGCCATATCCGCTTTGTACGCAGGCACATGTCTTAGCTTTGTACAAGCGAGAAATTCTTTCGAACATACATTATATTCCTTAAAAAGCCGTCCACATAGATAGTGTATAGTTGTATATATATCTTTCAAGGTCAGTTAATATGGTAGCTCAATAACGTGCTCGGATTCTCCTACATCTGATTTCCGATATTAAAGAAATTTGAACGAATATGTTTATGTACTTTTTCGCGACAGCTGAGTTTTGGCTTGGATGTAAAATTGCCAGCCCAGCTAGCGATGTCAAATCCAACCTCCAAAATTCAAGCGTCCTGTGCGCTATATCTCATAATAATATTTTGTAATTGGTTCTATCTTACGTCCCTCCTTGTATTTCACTACTTTCATAAGAAGTGCATATTTTGAATATATACAGAAGCAGCATCTTTTTTGTTATTATTTATATATAAGTCAATATGTAACATAATCTATATAAGGTACAGTCCACCGACCAAAGTCCTTATGGTTTTATTATATCTACCTTCTCAGCAACCAACACAGTAGTTGATCACAGAAAGCCAACCGCGGACTGCTGTCTCGTGCTATTTGGCAACTCCTCAGCATGGTGTAGGCTTGGTCTCAGGTGGACAATGAACGAAAGCTGAGCAACTATCCACTGTGTCATCTGTATGTGCTATATCACCAAGTTCGGCGGCATCTAACGGCTACAGTTGCAAGGGCGGATAAATCAACACATACGGGAGAAGAGATGAGGGACGTGTGGTATTTACTTTGAGCATCGATCCACACATTTTCTGACAAGAAACAGGCGCACCGCTAAGCAAATCTCATAAATGTCTATTTCCAAATTCGGCGTTCATCTAACATAGTGCTCCGCTGCAACACCAACCCCAAACAAAATCAGTCAAGCTTTACACACTTTTCAAATATTGAGCCACAAACGAAACATAAGTCACTTTTTAAGTGCAATCTGTACAGCGTATACAGGGTGACTTTGAAGTTGAGTCATTAATTTTCAGATAATGATTGTAGAAGGGAGATAAACCAAAATATGTGTGTAAAAATAAAAAAAAATTAAAAAAAAAATGTTACCTTGTTTTATAAAGTATCCTCCCGACAAGTATTTCAGTGCGGACCTGTATTTGATCGTGCGGTCTTGGAGCACCGGCATGCCTGTGAGGTCTTAAGTCACCTGATTCACGAGCCCGTTGTACTACATTAACAAAGGCACGAGCGGTTGGTTGCACTCGATTGGGAAACCGATTCGCACAAACCTGTGATGCCGCGGCAGCATTTTGTAAAGACTCCCCCCCGTAAATAAGAATCATGTCCACAAGTTCAGCATTTTCGTAAACATGTGCCATTTTTTATTTCGTTTGAGCCACGCAACAAACACTACTATTCACTCACACCTTATCGACTGACGAAAAACATCGTGATAAACGTTTCAAATTCTTTCGCTTTTTTGTTTCCGATGCGATGAACCGAGGCGGATTATATCCGTTGTTGCCAAACACCAGCACATAATATTATTGAGACAGGGCGGTACTCAAACTTCTAAAGGGCTATAACTTTGTTACTTTAATTTTACCAGAAAAATGGTAAAGGAAAAAACATTTCTTTTGATCAGATCTACTCACTGTTAAAATAAATGACTCAACTTCGAAGTCAGTATATTACTCAGTCTTAGATTTGTCTCAAGTCACAATACTCGTATATACATATAAATCGTAAGAATTGTACTTTAAACGTAGGCGATGTCAAAGAGGGGCAGCGTTTGGAATACCAAAGGATACCAAAAAAATCGCAATGCTCAGTTCCTATAGCTATAAATTATAGTTAGTAGGCCCAATGGTGTAGATTGCAAAAGCAGGTGGCAGACGCGCCCCCCTCCCAAATCCGCCACTGTACAGTGGTGACCCTGGCGGCACTTAAAAGTCACATTGTTGGACTTCTCAACGCCTTCACGGACAGCTGACTGCTAGTGTATATGGCGATTATTTTATTTCTGTATGTCCTATCATTGTTTATTATTTATTTGATTACTCTTACTAAACAGTTAGGCTTTAAGCAGCAGAAGCAATCATAGAGTAAACACTACCGGAAGAGCCGCCACGCTATTTCGAGAGTGACATTTCTAATTTCCCTAAAAGCAACTTCGTTTTGAATGAATAAACTTTCCTCGAAAGGAACAAATTAAATTTAAGAAAGAAGTCCATTCATAAAGATAAACAGGCGAGGAACTCCAGACTCTCTCAGTTCCAAACATTGGAACTGGTAACAACGTACAGCAGCAAAAGAGAAGTCCGAGCAGTTTTCCGGACAAACCTAAATACAACTCGCTCCAACCAGTTCGAAAGTTTGTCATTAGTTTGTTCACTGCCGTGGACTTTTTATTACTTCCCGCTAAAGATTCTGATTTATAGTTCTCATATATGGGAATTTTATTTTTATTGGTCTGAATTTCTGCAATTACTGCGTTCTATAGGGCAAATAAACATACCATATATATGAATCTCATCCCCTACATCAAAAAATGCTGGATATACTAGAGAGAAAGAAAATCAAAAGTTACCGAAGGGGCTGAAAAGGAAGAGGTACATCTGAATTAATGAAACTGTTATTTCGCGTAGGGAGTTAAATGCAAATAACTTTGAGCATAGCCAATCAGTTTTAAATGGCACATGTTCTCAAAATGAAGAATTTTGTTTCTCCACCATTATGAAAATAATTTTAATTTGACGACCGACTCTAGATATAACTTCCGTCGTGCTAATTATGTAGCCTTGTACAGGTATAATGCTGTTTTGAATATTGATTGGTCACACTTCAAAGAAATGAATGATGTAGAGAATGCTTGCTCATACTTATATTCAATATTGAATGATTTTTTGATTTGTATATTCCAAGGTTTAAGCAAGCCCAGTGTCGATACTCTTTATGGTTCACGACTGATATAATAACTAATATAAAACAGAAGGATAGGGCCAGAAACTGTTTTAAGCAAAGAGGACTCATTCATTTCGAAAATAAATTACATAGTAACATCAAGGCTCAAATAGAAATTGCATATGCTGCTTACACCAAGAAGGTTGAAGATTCAATTCGTCAAGAACCGGGTAAGTTTTGGTCATTTTTAAATTCAAAGGATAATCAGTCTAGAATACCAGGCTTTTGAAGGAAACGTTTTTGATACCCCTCAAGCTATTGTTGATGGACTTATATTTTTCGAGTGAGTCTACTACCTCAGATCTGTCGACTTTTAGAAATATCACTTCAGAAAATTGTCACATATGATTAAATCATATCAGTGAACATGATATCATACCGGCATCAAAAAATTGAAGAATAAAATGACGTCTGGTTTTGATGGTGTACCTAGCTTCATAGTTAAGGATTGTATTCATATCCTAGCTAAGGCTCTTTGCTATATATTCAATTTGATTTTAAAATCTCGTTGTTATTCTAAAATTTGGAAGAGGACAAAAATTTGTCCTATATTCAAGAGTGGTGTCAACTCAGATGTAAGTAATTATCGTCAAATAGCTATTTTATGTAATTTTAGTAAATTGTTTGAGATAATAATTTATAACACAATATTCAGCTCCGTAAGATCTCTCATCTCTGAAAATTAACATGGTTTTATGATTGGCAGATCTACGGTCACAAATTTAGCTTCTTTCACTCAGTGTGCCGCTAGTGCACTTGATTGTTAGGGTCAAGTAGATCTGATATACACGGATATTGCGAAGGCCTTTGATCGGGTTGATGATTATATATTGTTGGCAAAGCTTGAAGCGTTAGGGTTATCAGCCTCTATGTTGACTCTCTTACGGTCTTACCTAGCTGATAGGTCACTTATGTTGAATTTGGTGGAAGTAAGTCCAAAATTTATACAGCAACATCTGGAGTTCCACAAGGTTCGAACTTAGGACCGTTGTTATTTCTTATTTTCATTAACGATCTGTCTTTGAAGCTAACCTGTATGCACTTGCTTTTTGCTGACGACTTGAAGATATTTTCGCCAATTCACTCTTCGAGTGACTGTGTGGAGATGCAAAGCAAGCTTGACTTCATATATGAATGGTGCAACAGAAATCTGCTATCGTTAAACTTCAAAAAATGCAAAGTGGTGTCATATAGTCGGAATTAGGACCCCATCATATACAATTATAACCTTAACGAAAGCGTTTTAGGAAGAGATTCAAGTTTTAAAGACTTGGGAGTAGTGTTCTATAACAAACTCACTTTTAACGATCACATATCAGATATTGTATCATCTGCATCACGGTTGATGGGTTATTGTGTACGTAACTGGTCCGGTTTCTCTAATGTGGACTGTTTAAGAATATTGTATTTTTCATTTATCAGGGCTAAGTTAGAGTATGCGTCCTTAGTATGGTCCCCCCTATATCAGAATGCAATCGGTAAACTGGAGGCTGTACAACGTATCTATGAAACCGATATTACAGATCATTATTCCACTGTATTATTGATATCTTCATAAAATAAAGACCAGAACTGCCCAAGGGCAAAAAATGAAAGAAACCTTGAATACAAATATTTCACTGACAACTCAAAATTAATATTTAACGC